AGGTAATTAAGTAAATGAGTAGCTAGGGTGGGGATTCATGTGAGCTGATTAACGATTGAGAACTCGCAACTTGAATTTTTATTACAAATATGAATGGCAGTCCCAATCTAACCAAATATTACTTTTAGTGAGTGAGTGAGTGAGAGTGAGTGAGAGTGAGAGAGAGTGAGCGAGCGAGCGAGCATGAAGAGTTCCTACAAATCGGTTGTAGTATTGTTAAGTAATTAGTTATATAGTTTAGAATGGTTGTGACTGGAGCAACTGTGAGTAACGGCCGTAACCGCCGCGACCAACGGCCGGGAAGAAGGCGGCCAGCGCCGCGCCGCTCCCCTAAATACCTCATAAAACTACAAGTTCATAAAATGTAAGTGGAGGGAGGGAGGGATCTGTGGTCCGCGGGGGCACCCTTAAGGGAGGAGGAGAGGCAGGGAGGAGGAGAGGCAGGGAGGAGGAGAGGCAGGGAGGAGGAAAGGCAGGGAGGAGGAGAGGCAGGGAGGAGGAGAGGCAGGGAGGAGGAGAGGCAGGGAGGAGGAGAGGCAGGGAGAAGGAGAGGCAGGGAGAAGGAGAGGCAGGGAGAAGGAGAGGCAGGGAGAAGGAGAGGCAGGGAGAAGGAGAGGCAGGGAGAAGGAGAGGCAGGGAGAAGGAGAGGCAGGGAGAAGGAGAGGCAGGGAGGAGGAGAGGCAGGGAGGAGGAGAGGCAGGGAGGAGGAGAGGCAGGGAGGAGGAGAGGCAGGGAGGAGGAGAGGCAGGGAGGAGGAGAGGCAGGGAGGAGGAGAGGCAGGGAGGAGGAGAGGCAGGGAGGAGGAGAGGCAGGGAGAGAGCAAGAGAAGTGGTCGAAATGTTGATGAACAAAGCTGACAATATTACTGTTATTTAATACTCAGTGGAAATGATGTGTTGATCAGTTAAGGTAAGACAGAGACGCAGGAACAGTGACGCGGGGACAGAGACGCAGGGACAGTGACGCAGGAACAGTGACGCGGGGACAGAGACGCAGGGACAGTGACGCAGGAACAGTGACGCGGGGACAGTGACGCAGGGACAGTGACGCAGGGACAGTGACGCAGGGACAGTGACGCGGGGACAGTGACGCAGGGACAGAGACGCGGGGACAGAGACGCGGGGACAGAGACGCGGGGACAGAGACGCAGGGACAGAGACGCAGGGACAGAGACGCAGGGACAGAGACGCAGGGACAGAGACGCAGTTACAGTGACGCAGGGACAGAGACGCAAGGACAGTGACGCAGGGACAGTGACGCGGGGACAGAGACGCAGGGACAGTGACGCAGGGACAGTGACGCAGGGACAGTGACGCAGGGACAGTGACGCAGGGACAGTGACGCGGGGACAGTGACGCGGGGACAGAGACGCGGGGACAGAGACGCGGGGACAGAGACGCGGGGACAGAGACGCGGGGACAGAGACGCGGGGACAGAGACGCGGGGACAGAGACGCGGGAACAGAGACGCGGGGACAGAGACGCGGGGACAGAGACGCGGGGACAGAGACGCGGGGACAGAGACGCGGGGACAGAGACGCAGGGACAGTGACGCGGGGACAGTGACGCGGGGACAGAGACGCGGGGACAGAGACGCGGGGACAGAGACGCGGGGACAGAGACGCGGGGACAGAGACGCGGGGACAGAGACGCGGGGACAGAGACGCAGGGACAGAGACGCAGGGACAGTGACGCAGGGACAGAGACGCAGGGACAGAGACGCGGGGACAGAGACGCGGGGACAGAGACGCAGGGACAGTGACGCGGGGACAGTGACGCAGGGACAGACGCGGGGACAGTGACGCAGGGACAGAGACGCGGGGACAGTGACGCAGGGACAGAGACGCGGGGACAGAGTCGCAGGGACAGAGACGCGGGGACAGAGACGCGGGGACAGAGACGCGGGGACAGAGACGCGGGGACAGAGACGCGGGGACAGAGACGCAGGGACAGAGACGCAGGGACAGTGACGCAGGGACAGAGACGCGGGGACAGAGACGCGGGGACAGAGACGCGGGGACAGAGACGCGGGGACAGTGACAGAGACGCAGGGACAGTGACAGAGACGCAGGGACAGCGACAGAGACGCAGGGACAGTGACAGAGACGCAGGGACAGTGACGCAGGGACCAACAAAACTCCCGGATACTGGCAGTCAGCCAAATTAATTGTGGGGTAAATTATGCCAGAGTGCGATAAATTGTCCCACAATGATGGTTGGGGAGACCGAGGGTGAGGGGGGGGGGCACAGCAAGTAGGGGGGGACACCAAGGGTGAGGGGGGGGGAGACACATCTAGGGTGAGAGGGGGAAACACCTAGGGTGAGGGGGGAAAGACCAAGGAGTAGACCAGTCCACTGTGACTGAGCACGGCTGGTCTACGCTGACTACAACTCCACTGTGACTGAGCAAGATACAAAAATCAGCCTGAAAATTAAGTATAAAAGGTTGACAAACTACAAGTTGACACCAGTAATATCTTGAGCTGAGCAGCGGAAAATAACATGATATTTAACAGTGATAAATTCCAGGCACTTTGCTATGGTAAAAGTGAAGACCTTAAACCAAATACAGGTACAAGACACAAGCACATCTCTTCATAGGACAACGCTATGTAAAGGATCTGGGACTAATGGTATGTGACGATTTAACGTTTAATGAGCATGTCAAAGGGAATATAGCGTCAGGAAGGAAAGTAAGACTGGTTATGAGGACCAACTCTAGGGATTACATTACAGTGTTCCTACTGTAATGAAGCATTACATTACAGTGTTCCTACTGTAATGAAGCATTACATTACAGCGTTACTACTGTAATGAAGCATTACATTACAGTGTTCCTACTGTAATGAAGCATTACATTACAGTGTTCCTACTGTAATGAAGCATTACATTACAGTGTTCCTACTGTAATGAAACTTTACATTACAGTGTTCCAACTGTAATGAAACATTACATTACAGTGTTCCTACTGTAATGAAAGATTACATTACAGTCTTCCTACTGTAATGAAAGATTACATTACAGTGTTCCAACTGTAATGAAACATTACATTACAGTGTTCCTACTGTAATGAAAGATTACATTACAGTGTTCCAACTGTAATGAAACATTACATTACAGTGTTCCTACTGTAATGAAACATTACATTACAGTGTTCCTACTATTGTAATTACTTGTGCTTCCCCGCCTTGAGTACTGCGCGATACTCACTTCCACCTTTTCAATGCAAGAGAGACTGCTGAAGGCGAGGGAGTACATAGAACATATAAGGCAAATATAGACATGATAAAGCACCTAAATTATTTTACAGATGTCATATATTGCAACGATGCCGTGTCGCCTAACATTGCTGTTAAACACAGTAAACTAAGGCCTAACATTGCTGTTAAACACAGTAAACTATGGCCTAACATTGCTGTTAAACACAGTAAACTAAGGCCTAACATTGCTGTTAAACACAGTAAACTAAGGCCTAACATTGCTCTTAAACACAGTAAACTAAGGCCTAACATTGCTCTTAAACACAGTAAACTAAGGCCTAACATTGCTCTTAAACACAGTAAACTAAGGCCTAACATTGCTCTTAAACACAGTAAACTAAGGCCTAACATTGCTCTTAAACACAGTAAACTAAGGCCTAACATTTAAACACAGTAAACTAAGGCCTAACATTGCTCTTAAACACAGTAAACTAAGGCCTAACATTGCTCTTAAACACAGTAAACTAAGGCCTAACATTTAAACACAGTAAACTAAGGCCTAACATTGCTCTTAAACACAGTAAACTAAGGCCTAGCATTTAAACACAGTAAACTAAGGCCTAGCATTTAAACACAGTAAACTAAGGGGTAACATTTAAACACAGTAAACTAAGGGGTAACATTTAAACACAGTAAACTAAGGGGTAACATTTAAACACAGTAAACTAAGGGGTAAGACTGGTGGTGGTGTAAGGAGCTTGTGCGAGGCTCAGAGGGCCAGACAGACAACGTCACGCTGCTCTTGGCCTCATAACAACAACTGTTTCCTACACAAATGTGGCAATGATGTAACGAGAACGTTTCATTATTTTTCTCTGTACATATAGTTTTAAAAGGTTTAACCCACAGGTAAGACCAAAGAGCCTCGGAGACCTTAAGACTGGACACCTAAGTGGACACGGACCAGGGCAGCATCTATGATGGATTAGTGGAGCATCTATGATGGATTAGTGGAGCATCTATGATGGATTAGTGGAGCATCTATGATGGATTAGTGGAGCATCTATGATGGATTAGTGGAGCATCTATGATGGATTAGTGGAGAATCTATGATGGATTAGTGGAGCATCTATGATGGATTAGTGGAGCATCTATGATGCTAGTGGAGCATCTATGATGGATTAATGGAGCATCTATGATGGATTAGTGGAGCATCTATGATGGATTAGTGGAGCATCTATGATGGATTAGTGGAGCATCTATGATGGATTAATGGAGCATCTATGATGGATTAGTGGAGCATCTATGATGGATTAATGGAGCATCTATGATGGATTAGTGGAGCATCTATGATGGATTAATGGAGCATCTATGATGGATTAGTGGAGCATCTATGATGGATTAATGGAGCATCTATGATGGATTAGTGGAGCATCTATGATGGATTAATGGAGCATCTATGATGGATTAATGGAGCATCTATGATGGATTAGTGGAGCATCTATGATGGATTAATGGAGCATCTATGATGGATTAGTGGAGCATCTATGATGGATTAGTGGAGCATCTATGATGGATTAGTGGAGCATCTATGATGGATTAATGGAGCATCTATGATGGATTAGTAGAGCATTTATGATGGATTAGTGGAGCATCTATGATGGATTAATGGAGCATCTATGATGCTCCATTAATAGAAATAGATGTGCCGGAAACAGGCGACAGGAAGTCAATACTGGTAAAGTTACCTTGATTAATATGATGATGATGGAGCCCCCACAGGTGTGGTGTGGTGACCTACCTCGGCTATCATGGGGTCGGTGTTGACCTGACACATGTAGACTCCCCGGTCGTCCTCCTGGACGTTGCGGATGTGCAGGTTCCAGGTGGTGCGGTCACGGTAGGTGACGGAGACGCGTGGGTTGTGGGTCACCACCTGGTGATGGATGGCCTGGATGGCCTTCGTGTCCGCCTTCACCCATCCCACCTGCAGGAGACAACCACATGAGCCACTCTTCTCCTCTCCTACCACTACCTCAGGTTTGGTATACTCTCACCTCTCACACTCTATACCTGAAACACTGCATGTCACTTGCCACGGTGTCCCCCATATCTATCACGGGGGACACCATCTGTCACAGTGAACTATTTCTTCAAGTGTAGGTGTGGCCCTCAGGCCCTCAGGCCACAACGTCATGAAAACTGTTAATTGAAAGTTTCCTCTCCTAACCTAACCGAGTAAGCCGGAGGACACTCAACAGAAAACGGGAAAGTACATCACTTTCGTAAGCAATTGAATTCAAATTTCGTCTATTTTTGGCCATAACGCGCATGAGTGAAATAGCGCGCATATGAGTGAAAAAGCGACGTAATTTTAAGTGGAGGGGTTGATACGACACTCAACTCGACTCGCTCTTTTAACAATAGATCAAGATCAAGACAAATAAGCCACCGTGTGAGACTAGCCCCGGGCGTCTGGCCTCCAGCCTCAAAATGTATGCTCTCTTTTACGGATATAGAATTATAGATTATTATTACTTTTATTGTGGCAGTTATAAATATTCGTATTCTGATAAATATTACTGTTATTCCATTCTATTCATAATAGTTAATAATAAGAATAATAATTGTTAACATGTATCAATTAAACTGGTTCTTGATAGTAAACCAATGAAACATAATAAGAATGTGATAAAAGAGAATGACAGAGTCACTTTAGAACTTTGTGTAAAACTTTGGAAGCATTCAATGGGTCTCGGGTCCAGTTACAGCGCCGATCAATAGGTAGCGCTAACTTAGTCCAAAATGTAATCAAGAGAGTTTATTTAAACCCTGTTCAAGAGACGGTGTTTTACCTTAGATATAGATTAAGACATGTAAACATGGAAGTGTGTGTGTACTCGCCTATTTGTACTCACCTATTTGTGCTTGCGGGGGTTGAGTTTTGGCTCTTTGGTCCCGCCTCTCAACTGTCAATCAACTGGTGTACAGATTCCTGAGCTTACTGGGCTCTATCATATCTACATTTGAAACTGTGTATGGAGTCAGCCTCCACCACATCACTGCCTAATGCATTCCATCCGTTAACTACTCTGACACTGAAAAAGTTCCTTCTAACGTCTCTGTGGCTCATGTGAGTACTCAGTTTCCACCTGTGTCCCCTTGTTCGCGTCCCACCAGTGTTGAATAGTTTATCCTTGTTTACCCGGTCGATTCCTCTGAGGATTTTGTAGGTTGTGATCATGTCTCCCCTTACTCTTCTGTCTTCCAGTGTCGTAAGGTGCATTTCCCGCAGCCTTTCCTCGTAACTCATGCCTCTTAGTTCTGGGACTAGTCTAGTGGCATACCTTTGGACTTTTTCCAGCTTCGTCTTGTGCTTGACAAGGTACGGGCTCCATGCTGGGGCCGCATACTCCAGGATTGGTCTTACATATGTGGTGTACAAGATTCTGAATGATTCCTTACACAGGTTCCTGAACGCTGTTCTGATGTTAGCCAGCCTCGCATATGCCGCAGACGTTATTCTTTTTATGTGGGCGTTGTGTGTGTGTGTGTGTGTGTGTGTGTGTGTGTGTGTGTGTGTGTGTGTGTGTGTGTGTGTGTGTGTGTGTGTGTGTGTGTGTGTGTGTTGGTGGAGCATGTTGTAAAAAAGTTATATAGACGGTAAATGACATATTGAGGATGTTAATAACACTTGTTTACACATCGTGTACACTACTACACTGCTTGTTACACCTGTTCCTTCTATACCTTAGTTATCACAAGTGTTTTTACTACAAAATTGTTATTATTAATGCTTTCATTTTCATATTATTTTTAGTATTGGGACGAAGATGCTGCCAATATATATTTTAGATTCAATGTGTAGGATGTGTCCGGGTTTGTGGGCGTGAACAGTGTTCACATGTGTGGCCTCGTGTGCTCTCACATTCATGTGTGCGCCCTTGCACGCATATGTGTATTAGTGTGTGAATATATCCATGTGTGTGTACATGGGGTGTGAATATGTCTATACGTCTGTCCTAGGATGTACGTATGTGTACTTTTGTGTGAATACAGCCATATACTCACCTAGTTGTGCCTGCGGGGGTTCAGCTTCGTTGGTGTACAGATTCCTGAGCCTACTGGGCTCTATCGTATCTATATTTGAAACTGTGTGGAGTCTGCCTCAACCACATCACTTCCTAGTGCATTCCATTTGTCTACTACTGTGTGTGTGTGTGCACGTGGGTGGGCACATGTCCACGTGTGCACGTGGGTATGCACATGTCCCCGTGTGTGCACGTGGGTGTGCACATGTCCCCGTGTGCGCCAGGGGTGTGCACATGTCCACGTGTGCGCCAGGGGTGTGCGTACGTACACACGCAGGCGTGAGCTAGCCGGATGGAAAAGCCTCTCGCCACACGAATATTTTGGCCTTAAAAGTGACACGAGGGAAAATGTGTGCGGACAAAGCTGTGGGGATTACACGCGGGAGACGTCCAAGTGATCACAAGAGCTGTGTGAGTACCGGTGCTCTCACCACCCCCCCCCCCCCTGGGGCGGGGGGAGGGGGGTAGCGTGGCTTGGGGGGGTGAATTTCTCCATATCTTATAGTCTCCTCCTCACCCCAATTTCCAACACAGAGCCATTCACATACGGGAAAGTTCTGAAGGCCCGGAACCTGAGCCCAACCAGCGTGTTGTAGTCAACCCCACCACACTGGGGGCTATGGTGGCGGTGTTCACTCTCCCCCACCACACTGGGGGCTATGGTAGCGGTGTTCACTCTCCCCCACCACACTGGGGGCTATGGTAGCGGTGTTCACTCTCCCCCACCACACTGGGGGCTATGGTAGCGGTGTTCACTCTCCCCCACCACACTGGGGGCTATGGTAGCGGTGTTCACTCTCCCCCACCACACTGGGGGCTATGGTAGCGGTGTTCACTCTCCCCCACCACACTGGGGGCTATGGTAGCGGTGTTCACTCTCCCCCACCACACTGGGCCCACCACACTGGGGCCACCACACTGGGGCCACCACACTGGGCCCACCACACTGGGGCCACCACACTGGGGCCACCACACTGGGGCCACCACACTGGGGCCACCACACTGGGGCCACCACACTGGGCCCACCACACTGGGGCCCACCACACTGGGGCCCACCACACTGGGGCCACCACACTGGGGCCACCACACTGGGGCCACCACACTGGGGCCACCACACTGGGGCCACCACACTGGGGCCACCACACTGGGATCGCAAGATAACCACAATGGCGCGATATATCAATGGAGAGACGCCATTGTCATTTTATTGTGATCCGAGTGTGGCGACACACAGTATGCCTGAGTGTAACACACTCACCAGTATGCCTGAGTGTAACACACTCACCAGTATGCCTGAGAGTAACACACTCACCAGTATGCCTGAGTGTAACACACTCACCAGTATGCCTGAGAGTAACACACTCACCAGTATGCCTGAGTGTAACACACTCACCAGTATGCCTGAGAGTAACACACTCACCAGTATGCCTGAGTGTAAAACACTCACCAGTATGCCCGAGTGTAACACACTCACCAGTATGCCTGAGTGTAACACACTCACCAGTATGCCTGAGAGTAACACACTCACCAGTATGCCTGAGAGTAACACACTCACCAGTATGCCTGAGTGTAACACACTCACCAGTATGCCTGAGAGTAACACACTCACCAGTATGCCTGAGAGTAACACACTCACCAGTATGCCTGAGTGTAACACACTCACCAGTATGCCTGAGAGTAACACACTCACCAGTATGCCCGAGTGTAACACACTCACCAGTATGCCCGAGTGTAACACACTCACCAGTATTCCTGAGAGTAACACACTCACCAGTATTCCTGAGAGTAACACACTCACCAGTATGCCTGAGAGTAACACACTCACCAGTATGCCTGAGTGTAACACACTCACCAGTATGCCTGAGTGTAACACACTTACCAGTATGCCTGAGAGTAACACACTCACCAGTATGCCTGAGTGTAACACACTCACCAGTATGCCTGAGAGGGCACAAACGCTTTAGTCGATTTCAACTCCCCTCAAACCTATTTCCTGAACATTATGATTCTCTCCCTCACACACCCTCCTCCCTCTCCCTCACACACTCTCCCTCACACACCCTCCTCCCTCTCCCTCACACACCCTCCTCCCTCACACACCCTCCTCCCTCACACACCCTCCTCCCTCACACACCCTCCTCCCTCACACACCCTCCTCCCTCACACACCCTCCTCCCTCACACACCCTCCTCCCTCACACACCCTCCTCCCTCTCCCTCCCTCACACACCCTCCTCCTCCTCCCTCCCTCACACACACCCTCCTCACACCCTCCTTCCTCTCCCTCACACACCCTCCTCCCTCTCCCTCACACACTCTCCCTCACACACCCTTCTCCCTCTCCCTCACACACTCCTTCCTCCTCCTCTCCTCCTCCCTCTCCCTCACACACCCTCACACACCCTCCTCCCTCTCCCTCACACACCCTCCTCCCTCTCCCTCACACACCCTCCTCCCTCTCCCTCACACACCCTCCTCCCTCTCCCTCACACACCCTCCTCCCTCACACACCCTCCTCCCTCTCCCTCACACACCCTTCTCCCTCTCCCTCACACACCCTCCTTCCTCTCCCTCACACACCCTCCTTCCTCTCCCTCACACACCCTCCTCCCTCTCCCTCACACACCCTTCTCCCTCTCCCTCACACACCCTCCTTCCTCCTCCCTCACACACCCTTCTCCCTCTCCCTCACACACCCTTCTTCCTCTCCCTCACACACCCTCCTTCCTCCTCCCTCTCCCTCACACACCCTCCTCCCTCTCCCTCACACACCCTCCTCCCTCTCCCTCACACACCCTTCTCCCTCTCCCTCACACACCCTCCTTCCTCTCCCTCACACACCCTCCTTCCTCTCCCTCACACACCCTCCTCCCTCTCCCTCACACACCCTATACCCT